GTGGCCACTCAGAGTCGGACCCTGCCCGCCGGCACCCCATCCCCCGCCTGGGGTTATTTAAGACCTGGTGGGAGCCGGTCGGAGGGGCTGTGCCAGGACCACGTCGCCATGGCAATGCAGGCAGGCGCGTGGGGCTGCTACGAGTATTATTTTAGCTTCATAAAAATAGACAAAATCGTGGTTACCTCAAATGATCGCGGAGAGGGACTGAGGGTGTGGGGTGGGCAGGGTCTCCCAGCCCACAGCCTGAGCCCCCTCCCCAGGGCTGCACCCCTCCCCCCAGCGTGTCCAGGGGAGCTCGGATGGGGCCACACACACACCCCCCCCCGCACGCCTGGCGTTGCTCAGACACTGCCGGGGCTTGGGCTCCGCTCGGAGGAGTCCTGGAGGCCGTGGCGCCCACAGCAGGAGGGCAGGACCTGGGACGGCCGCGGCGTCCAGGGCAAAGTGAGCGCAGCCAGAAGCACGGGGGACCCAAGCCCATCGTGGGCTCCCTGTGACCAGCAGGGCCGCGGCCTCTGGGATGGAGCGAGCTCACCCGCCCTGGCACTCGCTCCGGCCAGGTGGGAGCAGCTCTGGCCGGACGGAAGGACTGACGCTGGCCCCGGCAAGCAGCAGATGGGCAGCCAGGGCCCTGCCCAGCAGGAAGGCCGCGCGGCCCGGCTGTGTCCGGGCCTCTCACTGGAGAGCGTCCAGCTTCCCCTGCAGGGAGCAGCTCCCGGGGCCCCCGCCTCTGAAGGCCGGGGCTCCCGCAGGCAGAGGCCAGGCTGCCCCCCCGGGGGCTGCCCGCTGCGGCCAGAGCCCGACTCGGCCCCGCTGACCCCTGGTGACCCCTGCCCAGAAGGTCGCTCTGCTCTCAAATAAATAAATAAATAAATCTTCATTTAAAAAATGAAGTCACCCATGCAGAACCCCAAAAGTGGAGTCCCAGGCCGTGAGGGAGGGGCCCACACGTGCATACATGTGTGCACACACATGCAGCGCTCACACGCGTGTGCATGCTCTCATACATGTGCACACATGCTCATGCATGCGTGTGCAAGCTCTCACACACGTGCACACGCTCACACCTGCACACGGTCACAGTGCAATGCTCACACATGTGTGCATGTGTGCGATGTTCACATGTGCTCGCTCACACATATGTGTTCGTGCATGTGTGTAATGTTCTCACACACATGCGCACACACTCTCACACACCCCGGGGCACTCGGAGAACCGCAGCCTCCCGCAGAGACGCCGCGCGGACGCCCCCCCAACCCTCGCCCTGAGCTGCTCCTCTGGGTGCTCGGTCCAGAGCCGCGCCCCGCCCCTCGCTTCACCTTTGACCTCGCCTTCCTCTGGCAGGGTGCAACTCCCACGGGGCAGCCCTGCGTTGCCCCCCGGCCGGCTCCGTTCCCTGGGGAGCCGCCGTCTCTCCGCCCTCTGACCCCGTGTGGCTGCCCGCCAGGGCTGCTCGCCCCTTCCTGCAGCCCGGGCCTGGGGGAGGTGGGCTCGCCCCGCGTCTCGGCTGGGAGGCCTCGGGGAGGGAGTGACCCGAGCCTCAGCCCGAGGCCCGCCCTCCGGAGCTACACAGGAGCTGACAGCGCCGGGATCCCCACACCCTCTGCTGGTCTGACGGCTGTCGTCCAAGCATGAGCCCTCTTTTCTTTCCTTTTCAAGATTTATTTATTTATTTGGAAGGCAGAGTTACACAGAGAGAAGAATAGAGAGAGACAGAGACAGGGAGAGGGAGAGGGAGAGAGGCAGAGGAGAGAGACAGGGAGAGAGGTCTTCCATCCACTGGTTCACTCTCTAGATGGCCACAACAGCCGGCGCTGTGCCGATCCGAAGCCAGGAGCCGGGAGCCTCTTCCCGGTCTCCCACGCGGGTAGAGGGGCCCGAGGACCCGGGCCGTCCTCCACTGCTGTCCCAGGCCACAGCAGGGAGCTGGATGGGCAGTGGAGCAGCCAAGCCTGAGCCCTCGCATTTCTTCCCCAGCCCGGCCGATCAGGCTCCACCACAGCCACGTGCTTGGCCAAGCAGCAAGATGGCACTGCGTGGCACTGGGCGCCGGGCCCTGTGCTCCCTGCTGTGTGACCACGACAACCAGGAGGAAGGCACCGCGGCTGCCCCATGCTGCAGAGGAAGCCGGGGAGGCCCCAGGAGGTCTGGAGAGCTGGGGGCTCCCGGAAGGCGGCTGGCGTCAGCAGCGCTAGGTGACAGAGCTGCGGGAGCTCCCAGACCCCGGGGAAGGGACCTGGGGCCCCCCACGCAGGCAGGACGCCTCTCCCTGCCCCCGCCAATCAGAGCGCCTGGGCCCTGGGGGCAGGAGGCTCGGAGGCTGGAGCACTGCTGAAGACGGGGCAGGGAGGACCCCAGGCGCAGGTGGCTGAGGGGAGCCCAGCCCACGTCCCCCTCGTAGATGCAGAGGCTGCGTGGGACCACCCGAGGTCACACCCAGGGCCCCAAGAACCCTCCCTGTCCCCCGCCCGCGGAGTCCAGCCCCCAGGCAGAAGCGGCACGGCGCCAAGGACTGCCCGTGGGCAGCAAGAGCTCGCGGGGGCAGCAGTGCCTCCTGTTGGGTCCCCACTCTGGGTGGGCACAGAGAGGACGACGATGAAGACAGCGATGTGAGCAGGTGGCCGGCAGCTCCCGACAGGGCCAGGGCCACCGGTCGCGGCTGAGCTCACAGGCTGCTGGCCGGCCGGGCTGGGTGGGGGAGGCAGTGGTGAGTCCGACTGTGGCCCCACGGGGACAGATGGCCCTCCCAGTGGCTCTCTGGCTGCCTTCTCCTGGCTGCTGCTTAGTCACAGATGAGCTGGACCTGGTGGTGCCCAAGCCACAGCCCTGCAGCTCCTGGTGCTGGCCACAGCGCCCCCTGGTGTTGCCGGACACTGGGGGTGGCCCGTGGAGGAGGATAAATCCCCCAGCCCCTACTCTTCGAACGGCCACCCCTCCCCCTGGGGCCCCTCACGATTCACACCCCAGCTTCCCCGTGACCTCAGCCCGCGGCTCTGGGGGTCACTCTCTGTGCCAAGATGGATGGGGTCCCCCAAAACTCCCGCCCAGCAGGGCCTTTGCAGACGTCGCTGCTTAAGATGAGGTCGCCCCAGGGTGGGCTGGGCCTGACCCTCCGGGCGGCGCCACACCGGGAGGAGACACCGATGGGAAAACACACAACACCAGGAGCAGGGCAGGGCCTGGGTCGGATCCTGTGCCCCCCTCCAACCACCCCAAGCCTCCAGAGGGACCCAGGCACCCACACCTGAGGCTGGATTTGGCCACCAGGGCTGGGAGGGACACGGCCGACCCACACCCCGCACCCAAGCCTTCACCCCAGGCTCTGCTTGGCGAGCAGCAAATGAGGACCCCACCCCCGGCGTGGTTGTGGCTTTGCGACAGGAGAGGGGCTGGGTGCTGCCCACCACGCCCCGGCCCCCTCACCCCTCTCCTGTGGCCTCAGGGACTGACAGGGTGAGGAAGCCGCCAGTGCCCAAAGGCCATCCCTGGGGGGTGAGACGCAAGACCCCAGCGGCCTCTGCCCCGCGCTGAGCCGGCTCCTGGGGCTGCAGACGGGGATCCCCTCGGCCCTCACTGTGGCCCGCCGCCCCCGGAAGAGCGCCGGCCATCAGAGCGCCGGCCTCCCGCCCCTCCCGGCCCTGTAAGCACGCGGGCAGAAGAGCAGCCTGCAGGCTGCTGTGGAGTCGGCGAAGGCTCTGCCCGGGTGGGCCCGGCCGCGGCGCCCGGGCCGGCACAAAGGCTGGCTTTAAATAGCTGCAGAAAGGAGGGCGGAGGCGGCGCGGCGCAGGGCGGGGCAGGGGCCCGGCGGCAGAGGGGCTCAGCCTGCTGGCCCGCAGCAGCCCTGCAAAGCTCCAACCCCCCCACCCCCCCCAAAGCCCAGGGAGCGCTGACCCTGGGTCACCCGGTGAAGGTCCACCCTCGGGGTGAGAGGACACGGCGGGCAGCAGGGGGCCGCCGGGCTGCCGTGTGCGCCATCTGGCTGGCAGCTCTGCGGGTTGCCACGGTGGGAAGAGGGACAGCAGGGGACGTCACTGCCCTGTGTCCTGCCCTGGCCGGGCCCCGCCTGCCTCCCCGCATCGGGAGGTGCCCGCAGCCGCTGACCCAGATCTGTCTCTGCTGGGAGGCCACCTGCTCTCTGCTGGCTCCGAGGCCCGTTCCGTTCCATTTGCAGCTCCCGGTCGCTGCAGCCCAGTCCACCCCATCCCCGACAGCCCCGTCCTTTAGGGCAGGGACCACCACCACCGGGACGGAGGGACCTCGGCAGGGGAGGGGCCCTGATCAGAAGCAGACGGTGGGCGCTGGCCTGTGGCCCCTCTGAGCTTTGAGAAGGACCCTGGTGCTCTGGCTCTGGCCTCCGGCCGGGCCTGCACCACACCCAGCCACGACGGCCGCTCGGCACGCTGCCCCGCGCCTCTTCTGCAGAGCGACCTGCAGGAGCTGCTGTCAGAGGCTGCAGCCATCACCGAGCTCCTGGGAGAATCTGTCCGGTGTCGCTGGGGCCTCTGAGCTCCTGTCGCCACTGCCCCGGTGCCCCGGCGCTGGGGACCACGGGGCCAAGGGGGCAGTGCCTCCTCAAGCCCTCCAGGCCTCCAGCCCGGGCCAAGGCTGGCCCCAAGCCCTGGGATCTCAGGCCGGTCTCAGAAGCACGCGGCTCTGGCCTCCGCCAGCCCTGGGCTCCCTGCCCTCCGCTGTGCCCACTTTAGAGCACGAGCCCACCCCTGCCCACCTGCAGCCGTCACAGATGCCAGCTACTCCTCTTCCCAGGCTCCCCCGTCAGATGCCAGCTACTCCTCTTCCCCAGGCTCCCCCGCCAGATGCCAGCTACTCCTCTTCCCAGGCTCCCCCGCCAGGTCAGCCGCTGCCTGGGCCCAAGCCCCCGCGAGCCTGGGCAGGGTCCCAGGGCCTGCAGAGACGGCCCCACCCAGAAGCATCCCCTGAGCCCCGGGCTGGGAGCAGGCAGGTGGGGGGTGGTCCAGGCGCCAGAAGACACAGCGCAGTCGGAGCAGAGCCAGCCCCCGGCCAGGGCTTTATTCCATGCTGGGACAGTGGCCTCCTGCGGCTTCCACCGCCCACTCCACCTCCGTCCGCAAACGCCCCACAGAGCGAGGCCTGGCAGCCGGGGCGGCCGCTCTGCCGAGAGCCGCAGGCCAGCTTTGGGGGAGGCTGCAGTGGGAGCCAGGGAGGCCCAGGGGTCCTCGTTTGCCGGGGTCGGTGGGAAACAGGCAAGCAGGGTCTTCCTGGTGGGAGGGGCGCGTGCCACCTCACATGGTGTAGGCCGCCCAGTACACGACGTTGACGGCCGCGAAGGCCGCGGGGAAGACGGCGCGGGCGTAGATGTCGATGGTGTCGGCGCCAATGGGCTTGAACCGGGCGCGGAGGCCCCCCGAGCCCCCCGGGCGGGCCGGCCCCTCCTCCTTGGTCTCCCCCGTCTCCACCTCCACTGACCGGTAGGAGCCCAGCAGGTGCCCAGGGACGCGGCACGGCCGGCGGGAGACGGCCAGCTCCTGGGTGACGCCAGCGGCCGAGAGGGAGAAGAGGACGATCGCGTTCCTCACGTCCATCTGCCCGGGCAGGGGCTGGGGTCAGGGCGCCGCGACCACGGCGGCCGAGGCGAGGCGCCCAGAGCTGCCCCGTCACAAGAGGGACCTGCATGGGGGCCTGGGGAACGCACTCCGGCCTCACCTCCGCCCTTGGCTTTGTGACCTTGACCTTGGCCTTCCGCTTCCTCCTGTAGTCGGCGTTGAAGTGTGCGAAGGCGTACTCCACCAGGGCGGCAAACACGAACACGTAGCAGATCCAGAAGTACACGTCCAGCGCCTTGATGGCCGAGGCCCGCGGCAGCGAGGAGCGGGCGCTGACCATGAGCGTGGTCATGGTCAGCACCGTGGTGATGCCTGCGGGGGTCACGCGGGCGGTGCCGTGTGGGAGCCCGGCCTCGGCGGGCCTGGGTCCCAGACAGCGAGGGTCCACCAGCCTCCCTGCCCCCCGTGCAGGTCAGAGTCCACTGAGCAGGCTGGCCCGGCTGGCCGCTGCCCAGGACAGCCAGCATGAGGCGCCGAGCTCACGGCGGGTGTGGGGGTCCTGCTCCCCGGCACCGCCCTCCAGCCAGCCCCCTGGGAGGCCCCTTTACCTAGAGACACCCTGGCGGGCACCGCCCTGCTCCCCAGCACTGCCCTCCAGCCAGCCCCCTGGGAGCCCCTTTACCTAGAGACACCCTGGCGGGCACCGCGGCCTGGCTGATCCAAAAGGAGACCCAGGACATGGCCACCAGGAGCACGGAGGGCATGTAGGACTGGATGATGTAGACACCGCGGTTCCTCCGCAGGCGGAAGTGCAGGCTGAGCCGGGGGAACTGGCCGGCTGGGGGAGGCACGGCCCACCGTCAGACCTGGGCCGCCGCCCCCTGGGGCTCGGGGCAGGAGGGGCTGTGGTGGGCACTCGGGCCTGGACCCTGCCTTCCCCAGCTCCCACACCGGCTGACGGGCCAGAGTCCCCAGCCTGGCCGCGGGATCGCCCAGAGGAAGCACGGGGGAGGCCCGGAGCTGTCGGTGCCTCGGCTTCCCCCAGGGCAGGGGGCGAGGGCTCCCCGGCTCTGCCAGCCGCCCACCACATGGTTCCATGGAAGGGCGGCGTGGGGCAGCAGGAGTGGAGGGCCAGGCAGGCCAGGGGAGGCCTGAGAGAGGCCCCCACACCCCCCAGGGCCGCCTCGGCAAGGTGCACACCCCACACCCCCAAGAGCCGCCTCGGCAAGGTGCACACCCCAGGCCCCAGTGCCGCCTCGGCAAGGTGCACACCCCACACCCCCAAGGGCCGCCTCGGCAAGGTGCACACCCCAGGCCCCAGTGCCGCCTCGGCAAGGCGCACACCCCACACCCCCAAGGGCCGCCTCGGCAAGGTATACACCCCAGGCCCCAGTGCTGCCTCGGCAAGGTGCACACCCCAGGCCCCAGTGCCGCCTTGGCAAGGTGCACACCCCACACCCCCAAGGGCCGCCTCGGCAAGGTGCACACCCCAGGCCCCAGTGCCACCTCGGCAAGGTTCACACCCCAGGCCCCAGTCCGGGCGAGCCCGTGCCCCTCGGCGGGTTTGAAGTCAATGGTTTTCCTGCTGTGCCCAGGACCCTGCACGGCCGGCCGGGCCCCGTCACAAGCAGGAGGCGCCCGCGTTACCCGACTTGAAGTTCATCAGCTCCGTGGAGAAGCGGTAGCTGGTGATGGTGAACTGGGCCAGCTGCAGCCTGTCCAGCCCGTGGATCTGCTCCTGGTTTTCCGACCAGTAGTACACGATGTCCTCCGAGGAGTAGCCATCTGCAGGCAGGCCCACAGGTGGGCCCCGGCCCCGGGCAGCCCCCACATACCCCAGGCCCCCAGGGGCAGGACCGGACGGGGCCCAGCCCACAGCACCTCCAGGCAGGTGGGTGAGGCCAGCGACGCTGGCAGAAGCAGGGTCACCATCGTCAGCAGGTGCAGCCATGTTCCGGCAGCCTGGGCCAGCGACACACAGGCGTCTGGGGTCCTCAGCCCAGCTCTCCCTGGTCACCCGGCCTTCTCCCCGCTCCATCGCCCCCCAAGGCCCCTTCCACTCCTGTGACAGCTTTGCCCTGGGCTCCTCCCTATCCCCTGAGCTGGCTTTGTCCACACTCCGGCCTGCCCCGGTCTGCAACCGCCTCGTCTGACCCCCTCCGGCCACGCCGGCCCACTCACAGCTCTCCAGTTCCAGCATGCACTCCTGCTCATCCATGGGGTACTTGGCCAGGTCCATGTCGCAGGCCACCGTGGAGGTGATTCTGCCCAGACAAGTGTGGAGTGAGGACCGTGGGCAAGGCCAGCCCTCCGGAGCCGGCAGCTCCCCTGCCCCCTGCCGCCCACGGTGGGCTCAGGGGCCCTCTCAGCTGTGAGAGGGCTGTGACATCTGAGAGCCGTGCTCAACTCTGGGGGCGCTTGGGCCTTCAAGAACGGGATTTTATCCGTCCGTCCTTCAAGGTGCAGCTCGGCCAGGGACCTCCGAGGCAGGACCCAGCCGGAGCAGCCCGGCTCTGGCCCGAGAAGCTGTAGACGGCCACGTGGGAGCAGACCCAGAGCTGCCCAGGGCCCTGCTGGCCCGGGGGCGGCCAGAAGTCAAAAGCTTACGTAAAATCTGCTTTTGACAATGTTAAGAAATAACTGCATTTCCAGAAGGCCCGTGTGTGAGCAAAGCACACAGTCGCCAGCGGCAGATGGCCCTCGTGCGCACGAAGCAACCACAGGGCGCGGAGGCAGGGGAGTGACGCTCGCAGCGGCTCCGACGAACCTCAGCACCGGACGCCAGACGCGTGGGACAGAGACAGGGGCTGGGCTGTCGGCACAGAGCGGAGGTTCGCACGGCCTGGCAGACAAGCTCCGTGCCGCTGGACTGTCCACTCGGAGACGCGGACCTAACGTGCCAGGAGCTCCGGCCCTGGGGACCCTGCAGCTGAGGCGTCACCAGCAGACGCCGGGGCCGGGTGCCAGAATGCCCCCCGCCCAGCCCCCGCCAGGAGCAGCCCCGCGCCCAGACCGCTCACCGGATGCTGTACAGGACCACGCCGTCCGGCTGCAGCCGGATGAGTTTGTTCTCCACGGTGACGTCGTGGAACCAGGCCGACTTGGCGTTCACGATGAACGTGTCGGGCAGCCACAGCTTGTCCACGAAGCGGCTGTCCAGGCCCAGGGTCTCGCTGGTGTGGTTGTAGGAGAGCCTGCTGTCCCTCCAGCTCTGGTGCAGGAACACGGTCATGGTGTACTCCTGTGCCGGGCGGGGCGGGTGCGGCTCAGCCCCTGCTCTCGCGGGGCTCGAGCCGGGGGCAGCCGGCTGCACACTCACCATGTTCACCTCCGAGATGTGGTCGATGCTGGCCACCTCCAGGGCGAGGGCCACGTTCACAGGGGGGCCTGTGAGGAGAGGACGGAGTGCAAGGGGGGAGGCGCAGGCCAGGCCCCCCGCCAGGGCCAGCCCAGCGGAGCAGGTCGGCATAGCCGGGGCCTCTGCGCGGGCTGGGTCTCGGTGTGCCTCTGCCGTCGCATCGCAGCTTCCCTGGGGGCCTGGGGCTTGCGATCCAACAGAGCCCCCCGGGGAGACCCAGAGCCCTTCGGGCACACACCCACAGGCAAGCCACTGCTTGAGCCGGCCCCTCACCTCCGATGCCGGGCCGGAAGTTGCGGGCATAGCCTTCCACCAGCCCGTCCAGGTTGGGGAGCCAGGAGATCTCCAGGTTGGAGCCCACGTAGTCCCCGATATCGTTCATGGCTCTGGGAACACAAGGCCAAGTGGTCACCGACAGGGCCCTGGGGCGGCAGCACCGGCCTGGGCACCTGGGCCAGGATGAGGAGTTGGATGCAGGGGAGCCCGGGACGTCCTCGGCCCCTGCACCGTCCTGTGCTCAGCCTCCCCCCTCCCCATGGACCTGCAAGGGAGGCTGCCCAGGAGGACCCTCTCAGGGACACACGGCCGCCCTCCAGCCTCTGGCAGAGAACCGTCCAATCGTCCTTCTAAACATCCATCCATCATCCCTCCACCCATCCATCCATCATCCATCCATCATCCATCCATCCATCAACCCATCCATCCACCCATCCATCATCCATCCATCATCCATCCATCATCCATCCACTCATCCATCAGCCATCAATCTACCCATCCATCATCCATCCATCATCCACTCATCCATCAGCCATCATCCATCCACCCACCCATCCACTCATCCATCATCCATCATCCACCCACCCATCCATCCATCATCCATCATCCACCCACCCATCCACCCACCCATCCACCCACCCATCCATCATCCATCCACTCATCCATCAGCCATCAGCCATCATCCAACCACCCACCCATCTACTCATCCATCATCCATCAACCATCCACCCACCCATCCATCATCCATCCATCATCCATCCATCATCCATCCACTCATCCATCATCCATCATCCACCCACCCATCCACCCACCCACCCATCCACCCACCCATCCATCATCCATCCACTCATCCATCAGCCATCAGCCATCAGCCATCCACCCACCCATCCACTCATCCATCATCCATCATCCACCCACCCATCCATCCATCATCCATCATCCACCCACCCATCCACCCACCCATCCACCCACCCATCCACCCACCCACCCATCCACCCACCCATCCATCATCCATCCACCCATCCATCAGCCATCAGCCATCATCCAACCACCCACCCATCTACTCATCCATCATCCATCCATCATCCACCCACCCATCCATCATCCATCCATCATCCATCCATCATCCATCCACTCATCTATCAGCCATCATCCATCCACTCATCTATCAGCCATCATCCATCATCCATCAGCCATCATCAATCCACCCACCCATCCACTCATCCATCACCCATCAATCCACCCACCCATCATCCATCCACTCATCTATCAGCCATCAGCCATCATCCACGCATCAGGTGACTGACTCCCTGGTGTGGGTTCCACTTCAGAAACGCGGCTGCGCCGTGGGCAGAGTCACAGCCCAGGCGCGGGTGGAGGTCCAAGTGTCATGGGGGAGGGGCGGGCAAGTGGCTTTAGATTGACAAGCGTTGTGGTAGGGGAGGTCAGGCCCCTGGCCGCCAGGAGTCTGGGGAGGAGACCACCGCCCTGAGAAAGCCACGCCAGAGCCCAAAGCCAGAGAGCACGAGCGTCCAGGGAGAGGCCAGAGGGGGCAGCAGGGAGGGCCAGGCTGTGGGCAGGGATCGAAGGGGGGGCCCCTCCCAGGGCTGACCTCCCCCCGGGTCAACTCGAGGTCGTGAATGAGGTGCCGAGAGATGAGACAGGATTCTGGTGAGGCCACAGGAGTGCCCGGGGAGCCGGGCAGTGCGTCCTGCCTGGACTCTGGTCCTTACATCACACTCTCAGGGGGTCCTAGAAGCCCCCAGGAAGCCTGGGTTTGAGAGGCACCAGGAGTGGGCCCCCCTCCACAGAGCCACGTCTCTGTCACAGACTGCCCCCCCACAGAGCCACGTCTCTGTCACAGACTGCCCCCCACCACAGAGCCATGTCTCTGTCACAGACTGCCCCCCCAGAGAGCCACGTCTCTGTCACAGACGGCCCCCCCACAGAGCCACGTCTCTGTCACAGACCGCCCCCCCCACAGAGCCACGTCTCTGTCACACACTGGGCTCTGAAGGAGCCGTCTTTGAACAGAAAGTCCCTCAGCTAAGGTGTTTTGCAAACTTCTGATCGTCATGGAGGGGAAAGTGACCTTGGACAAGGCCTGCGGCTCTGCTGTCCACCCCAGACAGTCAGCCGCTGCTCCCTGCTGGTCCCCAGGGCCAGGGCTGGGGACAGGGGAAAGAGCTGGAGTCCTGGTCCTACGATTAAAACGCCAAGTGGAGGTCCCCCTGAGGCCGGAGGCAAAGGGATTGAATTGTTTTTGGACCTGCCCAGCTGCCATCAGCCTGCTGGAACCAGGCCACCAGGAGACCACGTCCTCCCTGGGCGCACCTCTTGCCTGTTGACCCCCTTCCCTCTGCACCTGCCCCAGACAAACTCTGCAGCGGGCGGGGCTGGGGGAGCTTGGCAGGGGCAGGGGGCTCCCTGGTCCACCTCCCCTCTACACATGGGGACCTGAGAGGTCCCCAGGGGGCCTCGAGGCCAGTGTGGCCGGGCTCGGGGCTGCCCTCGGGGAGACGGCTCTGCGCCCACACTCAGACTCAAAAATTCAAGCACGTCGTGCCCTGGGGCACCGTGAGGACCGACGGCCTCTGCCCAGGGCGCACCTTGGCTATCAGGCCTGGTTCCCTTCTGCCCCCCCCCCCACAGAAGCAAAGCCGCCCCCGGCACTGCGCCCCTGGGGAGGGTGGGCGTCACCGAGCCCAGCACTGTGGCGGGATCCTCCCCAGCACACTCAGCCTACGGATCCTGACAGCTCCACTTTTAGAGCAACGCAAGGCTCGCCAGCACTCGGTTACCAAGGCAAAGAGCCGCGTGCGGCAGCGGCCGTGAGCTGGCACGGCAGGCGCCGCTGCTCAGCCGCTCCGGGGACTCGGGGCGCCTGCGACCCAGGAGGGCCGCCCCCAAGCAGGCCCCAGCCCCTGACCCCGCCAGCACCCACAGGAGTCTGGGCTGGGGAGGGTTGGCTAGAACCAGACCCCATCCCTCGGCAAAGCTCCAGGGACGAGGAGCCTGACGCTGGCGGGAGGGAGCGCGGCCGTCCTTGGTCCTGCAGTGGAGGGGACAGGGGTGGCAGGAGGTTCGGTCTGAAGGCCACGCAGGGCGGGAGGGCAGCTGCTTCCCGGCCCCTTCTGAACCTTGGGGCGAACCCACAGCTTCGCACCTGCGCTGTCCCGGTCAGGCCAAAGCCGGGGCAGGAGGCGGAGCCCAGCCCAGGGGCACAGCCACGGCACCCAAAACGGCAGAGCTTAGGGCTCAGGGGGGCAGGCAGTGCGGTGGCCCTGTGCCCGGCACGCGACACCCTGGGAGCCAGACGCCGGCCAGCGCTTTGCAGGAGGCCTCTCCGTGCACGCGTGGACTGGGAGGGGCATCTGGAGGCCCTGTGAGCAGGGCACACAAACGTGAAGCCAGCACCGGGAGGGGTTTACCAGACGGCGAGTCTCGGTGTCAAACTCGGGCTCAAACTGTGTGCTCAGAGCTGTGGGGACTTCAGGCTCGCGGCTCCGTGGAGGGGGCCTGGGCTGGACCCTCCGGCCAGCATGGATGAGCTGGGCCACGCCTCACCCCCGGCCCTTGCTGTCACCTGGGAGTCCCGCAGGACACGGCTCCCATGGTCTCCAGCCCTGCAGCCAGACCCAGGCCTTCCTCGCTCATTCCTCTGGCCCAGCAAGGGAAGTGACACCCCCTCTTCCCCAGCCCCCCCACCATGTTCCCTAGACACCGGCGGCTGAGGCCAGCCATTTTGTCCCAACGGCCACCAGGGGCCATCAGCAGGTGCAGTCCCCTCGCGGGACCGCCTGTTTTGCTTGCACAGAGATGGTTCCAGGAAAGACCCCTCTCGCGGGCTGTGGCCGGTGGCCGGGGGTGCAGGGGCCATTCGGACGCCCAGAGAGAGGGCAGAGCGCAGCCCGCACGGAGCCACAGCTGGACCCTTCTCCCAAGCTCCACTACACTTCACGCAGACCCAGAGGTCTTTCTCCCAGCCGGGCACCTGGGCGCCGGCCACCTACTCACCGGGAGCTCAGTGGCTCCTGAAAGGGGCCCACGGCCACCTGGCCCGGCTCCCCCGCAGCCACGCACCTGCCTCCGGGCTCCCACCCTGCTCCCACCGCAGGGGAGCGCCCCCGCCCCAGTTCTCGGATTCTCCTCCCCTCTCCCGCCGCTGGAGGGGGCCGCAGATGCTGGGCGAGAGCTGACAGCAGTTGGGAGGCCGGGCGCTGCGGCCCCCCCACCCCACCGGACAGCGGCCAGCGCCGGCCGGCAGGGGCGCCCGCGGGGACACCGGGGACGAGACCCGCGGTCCCCGCGCCGAGGTTCGCGTCCGCAGCTCCACTCCAGCTCGGTCTCGGCCCGCGGGGGGCCCCCAAATTTCTGGCTCCCCGAGTAGGGACTCCTGCCCCTCCAAGTGCCCCCAGGTAGAGACCCCTGTACCGCGGCGAACCCGTGTGCAGACCTCCACTCACGTGCGGACCCTTGCCCTCCATGTGTCCCCGGGTGGGGACCCTCACCTTCCTGGCGCCCCCCGGCCGGGACCACCGCTCATCTGCAGCCCCGGGGTGCAGACTCCCGCCCTCCCGGAGCCCCCGGGCCAGGACCCCCGCTCACCTGGCGCCGCGGGGCCGCGCGCGCAGCAGCAGGAGCGCTGGCAGCAGCCAGCGCAACGAAGCCATTGCCCCGGCGGCTCCGTGGGACGCCCGGCGGCCTCGGGCGGCGCGAAGTTGTCCTCCAGGGCCGACGCGGCTGCACCGGCGGGGCGGGGGCGGAGCCTGGCGTCGGTCCCGCCCCCAACCCTGGGCCCCGCCCCCGGCCCCGCCCCGCGCCCGAAGATCCGGACCCCCAGCGGCTGCCCTCGCCCGCTGCGGTCGCGTGTCCTCGCGGGGGCGGCTGGCAGCAGACGGGGCTGGGGGCAGCGGCCCTTGCTCGAGCCAGGGCCGGGGTCCTGGAACGCGGGCGGGCTGAGGGGGAGGGTCCCGGGAACAGCGGGCGGGGGGAGGGGCTCTGTCGCTGCTCACAGCGGTCTGGACTCGCTCCGGCCCCCGGAGCAGTCAAGTCGCGGCCTGGGCTGGCCAGGCCCCACCACGCCCGGAGAGCTAAGAAAGTGGAGGGGCTTTTTTTTGTTTTTTGGGTTTTTTTCTCCATTCTGTTGGAAAGGCAGAGAGACCGCGAGATAAAAACGGACAGAGAGGGATACATCGTCCATCTGCTGGTTTACTCCCCAGAGGCCCAAGCAAGACAGAAGTCCAGCTGGGTCTCCCACCGGGTGACAGGGCCCCCAGAGCCCGGGCCACCCCTGCTGCCTTCCAGGGCGCCCGTGAGCAGGACGCTGGACTCCAGGTAGAACCCAGGCACTCCGGTGCCCCCGGCTTGGGTTAACGCGCACGCCAAACTCCCCCTCCCCCGTTTTTCTTTTAAACTTGAAGTTCTGGGGCAATTCCCTATAAAAAGATGATCAAAAATTTAGCTTCTGTTCAGTCTCATGCCCTCACTTCTGGTTCCTGGCAGCATAAACGGAACTTGAGAAAACGCTGAAAAATGGTGGACCTTCTCCCCACGTCTGCTGAGTCCCCGCAGGTGCCTGTGGCCCCTGGCCAGAGCAGGCTGGGGAGGGCCGTGTGGACGGCAGTTTGCGGTGGGCTTTCCTAGCCCCGGCTGGGTGCAGTGGGTGTAGAATGGTGCCGGTTCTGTTTGCTTGCTTTCTGTGTTTTTGAGGCGTATTTACTTGAGAGGCCAAGAGAGACAGAGCACTCGTGTCCGATGGTGACTCCCCCAAAGGCCTGCGTTGGGCCCGGGCAGAAGCTGGGGCCGGGGGCTCAGTCCTGGGCTCCCATCCGGGCGGCAGGAACCCAGCACTGCCGCCTCCCAAGGTCTGTGTTAGCGGGAAGCTGGGGTCGGGAGCAGCAGGGGGACAGACGCAGGGCTGTGGTGTGGGACACGGCGTCTTCACGGCCAGGATGCCTCTCAGCTGCTTCTCTTTAAAAAAAAAATTATTTATGTATTTGCAAGGCAGAGACACAGAGATGGGAACAGAGGAATTGACCGTCCACTGGGTGACTCCCCCAAAAGGCCACAGTGGCCAGGGCTGGGCCAAGCTGAAACCAGGGAGCTCCATCCGGTCTCCGTGTGATGGCAGGGACAGACCCAAGCATTGGGCCATCCTCAGCTGCCTTCCCAGGAGCACTGTTTTAAAAGAATTATTTATTTATTTGAAAGTCAGAGTTACACAGAGAGAGAAGAAGAGGCAGAGAGAGAGAGAGAGAGAGAGAGAGAGAGCTCCTCCATCCGCTGGTTCACTCCCCAAATGGCCACAACGGCTGGGGCTGGGCCAAGTGAAAGCCAGGAGCCAGGAGCTTCTCCAGGTCTCCCCCGTGGGTGCAGGTGCCCAAGGACCCGGGCCGTCCTCCACTGCTTTCCCAGGCCACAGCAGAGAGCTGGATCAGAGGTGGAGCAGCAGAACTCGAACTGGTGCCCATATGGGATGCCGGCACTGTAGGTGGTGGCTTTACCCGCGACGCCACAGCGCCAGCCCCTCCAGGAGCACAAGCAGGGAGCTGGATCGGAAGCGGAGCAGCAGGACTCGAAGTGTCCCTTCACTGCGGGATGCCAGTGTTGCAGGCCACAGCTGAACCGGCTGCACCCCGGGCCCTCAGGGATGGGCTGCACAAAGCCGCTCTGGTCTGGTCTCAGCTTGAACGTCCCCTCTCGGCTCCTCCTGGCTCCCAGCTGGAGGGAGCTCTTTGGTGGGAAGCGGGGCCCTCGCTGCACAGCCCACTCTGTGCCAGCCACACAGGCCCTGGGAGAGCTGGGCCCAGGGCCCGGCCTGCCCGCCCCACCATGAGCTGAGGCTGCCCGCAGGTTGTGTTCATCATCTCGTCCCCTTTGTGGAGCTCCTGTGTCTAACAGTGTGGCATACCATCGGTGCCTAATAAGGACAGAAAAACACAGGCTCCGTCTGCATGGTGATCAGCGCCTCCTTTCCACGTTGGGACACTGCAGCCCTCGGGGTGACCCCGGGTCAGGTCACCCCTCCGCCCACTCGCAGGCGAGCCCTGGTGACCTTGCGAGTTCACCAGTTCCTTCAGGAGGGACCAGAACGCATTGCTCTTCACTCCTGCTATAGAATCAACGCTGGGTTCCCACGGCAGCGAAGAGCATAGCTCAGGAGGACGGACCGGCGTCTCGGCCCCGGCACTGGTTGTCTGCTGGCATCAGCTCCCCTCCTCCCAGCTACAAACCCGGATGGAGAAGCAGGCGGAGCAAGCCCCCTCGGACGCGGACGCGGTGGACGTCAGCCCGGAGTGCGCAGTTTCCCAGAACACCTGCAGGTCCAGCAGCCCGGAAGCCAGAGCCGCGCGTCTCTGCGCAGCGCTGCGTTTCGGTGGATCTGCAGAACGGGAGTCCTTGCGATTGCTTCTTCAAGGTTTTCAAGATTCTGTCACCGTAGCTGGCTCCAGTCCCTTTCCCGGCTGCTCCCTGCCCTCGTCCCAGCTCCTCCCAGGGCAGCTCCTGCTACTCCAGCCCAGCGGGGAGCAGCCACCCAGGGTCAGGGCCGAGCCGTGGTGCCAGGGCCGAGCCGTGGTGCTGTGTGGCCACAGGCTGAGGCGGGCCCGGGTGAGGCGGGAGCGGCACCTGCTCTCCGCTGTTTGAGAATTCGGGAGTGCCGCCCACCAGAGGTCTGGGTGCCAGTGCTCGCTCTGCCGATGGCCGCGCGTGAGACCCCGGGGAAGTCATTTCTCCTGGTGCTGATCTCTCCATTGGCAAGAGCGGGTGAGAGTAGCAGTTTGCTTCCTCTGCATCGCGAGACCAAGATGCTGGTCTCATGTTCTCTCTTTTTTAATTTAATAATGTAGTTGGGCTGGCGCTGTGGCAGGTAAAGCCATTGGCTGCAGTGCTGGCATCCCATATGGGCACTGGTTTGAGTCCCTGCTGCTCCACTTCAGTCCAGCTCTCTGCTGTGGCCTGGGAAGGCAGTGGAGGACGGCCCAACTGCTTGGCCCCTGCACCCACGTGGGAGACCAGGAGAAGCACCTGGCTCCTGACTTCAGATCAGCACAGCTACGGCCATTGCGGCCATCTGGGGAGTGAACCAGCAGATGGAAGACCTCTCTCTGTCTCTCCTCTCTCTGCTTGTAACTCTATCTCTCAAATAAATGAATCTTTTTTTTTTTTTTTTTTTTTTTTTTTTTTTTTTTTTTTGACAGGCAGAGTGGACAGTGAGAGAGAGAGACAGAGAGAAAGGTCTTCCTTTGCTGTTGGTTCACCCTCCAATGGCTGCCGCGGCCGGCGCGCTGCGGCCGGCGCACCGCGCTGATCCGATGGCAGGAGCCAGGAGCCAGGTGCTTTTCCTGGTCTCCCATGGGGTGCAGGGCCCAAGCACCTGGGCCATCCTCCACTGCACTCCCTGGCCACAGCAGAGAGCTGGCCTGGAAGAGGGGCAACCGGGACAGAATCCGGCGCCCCGACCGGGACTAGAACCCGGTGTGCCGGCGCCGCAAGGCGGAGGATTAGCCTAGTGAGCCGCGGCGCCGGCCAAATAAATGAATCTTTAAAAAAAAAGTGATTTAAAAAAATAATGTAGCTGACTTAGCTGTCTCTTTAAAGATTTACTGAGAGAGATCTTCCACCTGCTGGTTCACTCCCCAAGTGGCTACAACAGCCAGAGCTGGGCCAGGCTGAAGCCAGGAGCCAGGAGCTCCCTCCAGGTCTCTCACGTGCGTGCAGGGCCCAAGCGCTTGCATCATCTTCCGCTGCTTCCCCAGGTGCATTAGCAGGGAGCCGGATCAGAAGTGGAGCAGCCGGGACTCAAACCTCCACCTCCACCTCCTCCTCCTCCCCTTCTCTCCCTCCTTCCCCCCTCCCTCCTCCTCCTCCTCCCCTCCCATTATGTCACAGCACTGCCCCCGATGCTGGACTACTGAAAGGCGTTTGGGGGGGGGCTTCGACCCAGCTGTTAAAAGACACCTGCAGCCCCCATCGGAGTGCCTGGGTCCGACGTCTGTGTCCCGCGCCTGACTCCAGCTTCTCGCTACTGTGCATCCAGGAAGGCAGTGGTGATGGCCCAAGTCCCTGGGCCCTGCACCCACGTGGGAGACCTGGATGAGCTCCTGGCTCCCGGCTTCAGCCTGGCCCAGCCCTGGGTGTTGGAGATATTTGGGGAGTGAACCAGTGGATGGAAGACATCTCTCTCTCTCTCTCTCTCTCTCTCTCTCAAATAAGTTAATTTTAAAGACTCATGGGGGCCAATGCTGTTGCATAACAGGTAAAGCCACCACCTTTAGTGCCGGCATCCCATATGGGCGCTGGTTCGAGTCCCGGCTGCTCCATTTCCGATCCAGCTCCCTGCTATAGGGCCCAAGATGGCCCCTGCACCCACGTGGGAGACCTGGATGAGCTCCTGGCTCCTGGCTTCGGATCGGTGCAGTCCCAGCCATTGTGGCCACCTGGGGAGTGAACCAGCTGTAGAAGGCCTCTCTCTCTCTCTCTCTCTCTCTCACGGCTTCTC